TCTCCCTTCCCTTTATTTAGTACTTCACCGTAGTGTCTTCTTTATCCATCCAAAGGATCTCCTCAAAAATCATGTCATAGATTTTATCCACCCCCCCCCCCGGTCTGCTCTTTCTTTAGTACTTCACCCTTAATGCTTTATCCATGCAAAGGAGTAGATCTCCTCAAAATCATGTCAAAGATATGCTCCTCATCCCAGTTTGCTCTTTCTTCACTACTTCACCTTAATGCCTTCTATTTACCAAAGTTGTCAATACTGTACCGACATACATACTGATTTTACTACTAGAACGGTATATACTGAATACCGGAATTTTTCATGTACTATTTCAGTTTTGTCGTTATAAAAAAATTTTGTGAAGAAATTCAAGAAAAATAACAAGAAAAGGACTCAATCGAAGAAATTAAAAAGTTGAGGGTGAAATCTACCAAGACAAACCCACAAATCCAACCCAAACCCCAATATTGAGCCCACCAACAATTTAATTCAAGTCTCAACCTAATTTCATAAACCAGTCATCAAAACCCAAATTTAGCAATAAAAGAAAACCCTAGTTTCCTCTCTTTTAAAGGGGGAAAGAGATGGCAGACAAAATAAAAAAAAAAAAAAAGAAGAAGAGATAAGCCTCTCAATTTTTCTCCCTTCTGTAGATCCGCAACTGCCACCATCACCTCTAACCTTCACCATCCTCTTGCTAGTTGATCGTCACTCTCATCACCACCACCCTTACTAATCACCAAGAAGACGAAGTAGATCTAGCCGCAAGCCCCCTTAGGGACTCCGATCTTGACAATCTTCTTGCGTTTCATCATCATCACTGCCTCCACCTTCATCACCGGTAAGTAGAGGGGTTCGGCAGCCACCAGAAAGGGAGGATCTTTCTTCTCCAAAAAAATCTCAAGTGGTTGTCAACACTACCGGTACATCAAAATACTGGTCGATACACCGAAATTTGACCTAAACTAGCGAAATTTGACCAAAACGAAATTAAACTTTATACCATTTCAGCGTAATGAAAAATCCAATACATATCGACCATACCAGCCGGTACAAAATGGAATCAACTACACTAATATTTACACTTGAAAATAAAAAATCAATGAATGAATGTCATGTGTTTAATTGGGCCCAACCATTGGTCTGATGGGACAGTGATATCGGGACAACTCTTTGTATAATTTTTTTATTCAACTTTTACGTGTCATTAAATGAATGGATACATTTAATATCATAAGTCTCAAATGAATAAAAAGAGTCAATCATTTAAATGATACATAAGATTGTATAAAAAAGTGGTACAAAAAGGTTTTCACGAAATCATTTTTTGGTCTGATGTGTGCCACTCATCAACAAGCTTAGGTGTTGATCTAGAGCAATTCTGCTGCAATTTACAATCCAAACTGCAGATGACATGGAAGGTAGGTGGAATTTGGATGATGCATATCTTTTTCATTTAATTGAGTTTTATTTAAATTAAGAAATTAGGAGGAATTATGGGAATAGATCACATTAGGTTTTATTGGAGTTAGATTAATTTGGAATCAAACAATTAGCCACCAGTCATGGGTAAACAGCAGTTAGACATGGTGCAACTACTAGCAGACGATTACAGATAAAGGATCGAAAATCATGGGAAACAACTACAACATTGAAGTAAAAGAAAACAATGGAGAAAAAAATTAGTTTTCTCAAGCCTACCCCTCTCCAAAATTACGCAGAGTGCTACAATTTCAATTCCAAATTAGATCAACTAACAATTAACATAGATTTCTAGCTTAAATTTCGAAGACCTACTTTTATTCATAGCTTTAGTTTGAATTTTCTGTTTTACTTGAGATATGAAATATTTGAAATTTGAAAGCAAACCAGCCTTGTTGTTCAAGTCTACCCCATTAATTTGGTTAGTACTCCTTTAATTGTTCTTTTAATAATTGGGTTGAATTTTTGCTTTCTTCATGCCCTCGTTCATGCTAAAATTTGTAATTTATAAACTTTTTTCTCTTATTTTCGAAATAGGTTCAGTTTGCTAAATTTCCAAAATTTAGGTTAGAACTTTGAATTAGTAATTTCTCTATTTTAATATTGATAAGTTGAAATTTCATTGATATTAATGTGGAATTTTTGCCTTGATATATATTATTGATAATTGGATGACTTTTATGAGATTTTACTTGCTTTGAAATAATTTTCATTCTTTATATAGAAAATGACTTAATTGGATGAAATCATAACTTTTAGGACCAAACCGCAGAGACCAATCAGCTGAGGATTAAAGTGCGTAGAAACTAGGAGTTAGGGAGTAGTACTGTCATTTTGCCTTTAAAGAAAATTGCCTAAAAGGCCAAAATCCCCCAAAACGGACTCTTTCTTCACGGATACAGTGAACCTTCCTTTAGGGTGTCCAGACCATGGGCGATTTCTAGCAACTTGACGACAAGTCCTTGTTATTTTGACGTCTTCTCACGATCTATTTTAATTAGATTTTTTTTTAATTTTATAAATACTCATTCAAAATTAAAATTTAGAGAGTTTTTGGGAGGCTTTTGGTAATCCTTCTTGAGGCACACTAGGAGATCAAGATAGATGAAGTAATAAGAAATTTATCAATGACAAAAAATTAAAGATTTTAACTTTCTTAAATTTAATTTAGCTTTTCTTTAGATTATTTTCCACTAAAAAGGAGAGGTTCCTCGAAGAAATTCTATTTTCTTAGTTTTTTTGACAATGCAAGCGGTGTTTGCTAGATTTAGACTCACCTACCTAGGATTTTTGGGAAAACACTCTCTTTTATCCGTGCAAAGGATCTCCTCAAAATCATGTCATAGATATGCTCCTCGTTCCAGTTTGCTGAATTGAAAAGAAAGAAATTTCTTGTAACCCAAATAAACCAACAGATAACAAGATAAAAGTTCTTTGCTTTTCTAGCAGATGACGAGAATCAAAGAGTTCTTTGCTTTTCTTGTCGTCGATGAGGTTTAGCATTTTGGGTGGTAAAACTTTCATGAAGAAGGCATCACTTTAAGTTCAAGTGACAAAAATTAATGCCGAGCTTCGGCGGCATAGGAAATTCCGTTCAGACTTCGGGCAACGGTAATCAACAACGATGGAGCCAATAACTTTGGAACTGGTTCTGGAAGCCCAAACTATGTCCAAGGTTCTGGATCTAACCATGTCACTGGTACAGAGGAGAAGAGATCCCGTGGAAAGAGAGGCCATGACCTCTGGAGAAAGTAAGACCTCCCCGAGTTTTTCAGTTTGGTATTTTAAATGAAAATGTTGGGTTGGGTTATGTAAAATGGGTAAAGATTAGTTGTTTGAGTCATTAATTAAAGGCAAAAGTTTATCTTTTTCATTAAATTTGTAGGTTTTAATCCTTCATTTTATATTATGACACTTTTAATTCCTTATTAGAATTAAAGAAAATAATTTTCACTTATAATATTTTGTTAATTTTGTTAGTTGACTATTAATTATATTAACTAGTTATTAGTTGACTATTAATTGATAAAAATTTACTTTCAGATAATAAACTTAATAGTCAGTTAACAGAAATATTATGTTAATTGATTATTAACTCTGTTAATTGACTGTTAACTTTATTAATTGACTGTTAGATAATAAAAACTTACTCTCAACTAACAGAATTAATAGTCAACTAATAAAGTTAATAAAGAGTTAACAAAACTAATAAAATATTATAAAATTAGAGTTATTTTTTTCCATTTTAATAGATGAGAGGCTAAAAGTATCATAGTACAAGATGAGGGGTTAAAACCTATAAATCTAATAAGGTAAAGGGCTAAAAGTAAATTTTTGCCTTAATTAAATGGGCCATGGACATAGTTGTGGACCTGCAAAAGGCTTTTGGGTTCATGTGCGCTTGAATTGGCTGGCCGAGGCTATGCATGCAGAATACAATTTTGAATTTGGAACTAACCCTGGGCCGGATCTGCATCTTATTTCCTCTCCTTTTCTTCTTTTTTTTTTTCCTTTTTCCTTTATCGCTTTTTCTTTCGTCAATTTTTATTTTTCTTTAAACATTTTTTCTTTTTTCTTTTTCTCTCTTCTTTTTTTTTTTTTTTCTGACCTTTTTTATTTTTCTTTTCCTTTTTCTCTCTTTTTCTTTTCCTTTTTCTCTCTTTTTCTTTTCCGACCTTTTTCATTTTTCTTTCAACCTTTTTCCTTTTTCTTTTTCCTTCTTCGTTAGATCTTTTTCCATTCTCCCTTTCCTTTATTCAGTACTTCAACTTAATGCCTCCTTTTACCCATGCAAAGGATCTCCTTAAAATCAGGCATAGATATACTCCTCGTCGGAGTTTGCTCTTTCCTCAGTATTTTAACTTAATGCCTTCTTTTATCCATGCAAAGGATCTCCTTAAAATCATGTCATAGATATGCTCCTCGTCCCAGTTTGCTGAATTGAAAAGAAAGCAGTTTCTTGCAACCCAAATAAACCACAGATAACAAAGAAAATAAAGTTCCTTGCTTTTCTTGCAGGTGATAAGAATCAAAGAGTTCTTTGCTTTTCTTATCGTCAACGAGGTGTAGCATTTTGGGTGGTAAACTCTCATCGAAGTGAGAAAAATGTCAACCTCCGACAACGTAGGAAATGGCGTTCGGGCTTCGGGCAACGTTATCGACAATAATGGAGCCAACAACTCTGGAATTGGTTCTGGAAGCCAAAACTATGGCCAGGGTTCTGGATCTAATTATGGCACAAGTAATACCGGCAATATGAACATTGGACCTGGTGCTGGGGCAATCAATTCTGGCATTGCTGCCGGAAGTATCAATTCTGGAAACATTTTTCCCGGACCAGACAACTCCCCGTCTGATGAAAATAAGACCGCAGAGAAGAGCGTTGGACACGGGCCTGAGTCTGCATCAATCAACACAGAGAATTCCCATGGTAAGAGAAAAATTAGTTCTGCACACTAAAAAAAAAAAAAAGAACACACACACAATCAAGCAACTAATTTATTGTCCATAAATCCTTTTTCCTGTCATGAGTTAGAATTAGCAGTGAAATTTAGATAGTTAATAAAACTCTTGTTATTAATGTTATTAGTTATAAATTTAACACTCGTCACAAAAAAAATTTACAGTCACAAAAAAAATTCATATTGTTAATAAGTTATTTGTAACAAGTTTATTCATCATTGAAAGCACTTTTTGTTACAAAAATTTTTATCACAAAGATTACAACTAAGCGAAAAAAAACACCACAAATATAATTGAGCATCTATGACAAAATATTTAGCCATCAATAATTTAAATCGATTTTGAAGCTGAAGGGATATTTATGAAATTACAATATATCTATATATATATATATAGCACAAGAAATTCAACACTGAAATAATTCATAATTTATATTAGCAGGTGCGAACGAAATTGTTCACAAAAAATACTTAATTAATTATATATTATTTATTATAAACCATTTTAGTGACAAAAATTAAATTGTTAAAAAATATTCAAAATATAATATATATTGACAATGATTAATTATCATTAAAAAGACAATGATCAATTACAAATGTAAAGAATATAAAAAATTAAAAATATATTATTGAATCAATTACAAGATGAGGATGGCAGTATATCAATCCAAAGAGCATACATTTTTTTGTGAAAGAAAAAAAACCTATTATTATTTTTTTTTTTTTTTGAGAAATAAAAGCCTATTATTATTCAGAGTACAAACATGAATTCAAGGTAAACTTCTAAGAACTTGCCGTCTAGAAGGCCAAATACAATGGTAACCAATCATTTATAGCCGGACTAGCCAAACTAACCCTAGCAAGTCCTTAACAGTCAAGGACGTCCATTCTAACTATAAACAATTAAGAATAGGGATGCTTGAACAACACCAATACTTGATACGATTAAAATCATTTTAGAAAGTGCACTAGCACTCCAAATGATATAATGATATGTAAAGTATTGAATTCATGAGGACTATGATTGACTAAATATAAAAAATAAATAATCTTAAATTTATTTAAACAAACAAAAGGGAAAGAATTTTTAATTAAAAATAACAAAAAGAAAATAACAATTAAAATAAAAGCAATTAAGATATGAGGTACAAAGACATTTGATTTCATCATAATTAATAAATATAAATTTTAGATTAATATACTTTCAATACCAATTAATTGAATGTTATTGCACGTGATGGATAATTTTCCTAAATTAATTAATTAAAATTTTCAAGTCAAGTTAATCATTCCCTTATTTGTTAAACTAGTCATATTTGTATTTAATTTTTTTTTTTTTATAAGGGTAATGGTTAGGAAATTAGTGAGTTAATTGTTAGCGAGTTAATTGTTAGCAATTGGTTGTCAGACCTAATGAACATTTCATTCCCTCAAATGAGGTGTGCGGTCATCAGGCTACTTTTTGGTGGAGTTCACGACGGTGGTGGAGCTCGAAGCTCCGACCACCTCACCCAAGCACTTAAGGCTTGGGGTCGAAGCATTGGGCCACAAGGCTCGGTTCATATCTGTATTTAATTTAAAACAAATGGGTGAGCATTAAGTGATGTGAAAACCTCTAGCTTAGGAAGGGGGAGCTCCTAATTCTCTTCTCTTTCTCCACTACTATATATAACACTAATTACAACTCAATCTCATAATCTACCATATGATTTATATTATTATTGGTGTAAGTCATGCTATTTTTTTCTTAAATTCATGTGATTTTATATTTTAGTACCTTGCTTGGACAAGCGGATTGAGGAGCCGGCGAAGCATGATGAAAGGATGGAGAAGTCCTTGGCTAAGATGAAGGAGCTTGTTCTTAAGTTGGAAGAAGAACTGATGTCAATCAAGGCATACTTGAAATCACTCAACTAAGAAAAGATGCACTTGAGTTCCAATGGTATGACTATGCTTTACCAGACTTGCATTGAGACTACAAAGACTTTCGGAGACAAGCTTGGTCCTTTCTAGCCATGAGCAGCCATATGTCCTAGCCTTCTCTTCATCTTTTATTCTACTTCCTTCATAGTGTGTTGATTGTTGGCGACATCGCCATGATGTTACTCTCTTATTGTGTTTGTCTTGGGTTGAACATCTTTATATTCAGCAAAGTCTGGACTTTGTTGCTTGTTTGCTTGCTTACCTGTGGCTTTCTATTGTGCTGAGTATGGCACTTTGACTAATATATTTATGCTATTTGCATGTGATGAAAAATGGATCAGGGAGGTTGTCTTATATTATAATCATTCTGCATGGTGCACTTTCTTCTTTTCTTTTCTTTCTCTTTTCTTTTCTTTTTTTTTTTTTAATCAACGCTCCCTATCCTTACATAGCGATAAAACAAAATGAATGGAATACAAGCAAGCTAATAGATAAAGTGCCAAATATAATAAAAGAGTGTTGTTTGCACTTTACACATGTTGACAGAACATAGATAGAGTCAACCCTCTTGGCTGGAATAAATTTTAGTGCTAGAGATAAAATTACAAAATGGAGAATGCTTACTTATCAAGGAGCAATGCTAGCAAAGCCTAGCAATAGTACGGCTTGAGCCACTTAGCATTCATGGGGTATGGTAATGACTCTCCCTCGTGGGTTTTGAGATGATAGCATTTACTGTCATGTGCTTCCACAATGATGAAGGGACCATCCCAATTTGCAACAAACTTGGATGGGCTAGCAGTGTTCTTCCTCACATGGTCAAAGGCTTTAAGAACTATCTACCCAACTGTGAGAACTCTAGATTTGACTACATGGTTATGGGCATTTGTCATCTTGGATCGATATTTTTGAGCCTTTTCTTGTGCTATCTAGCAAAGCACTTCGATAGACTCTAAGTCTTCAACTTGCCTTTGGCCATAGATATCAGCATCATTGTTTAACTCAGATGCAACCAAAATACATGCAATTGGAACTAGGACTTTGTCTGGAAGGACAACATCACTCTTGGGAGACTGTTGACGACCACTTAAAATTTTAAAATAATGAAAAATTGACGCTTATTAAGTGTGAAAAATATAAAAGAAAAGAAAGCGACCACTCGTTCAAATTATAAAGTGAGACAAGTCATCTAAAATGAGTCTGCGCAAAAATCGAGGTTAAGAGTGAGGAAAGGCATACGTGCACCTCACAATCCTTCGTTTAAACATAGTTGCATACTTTAACATTGGAGTTTTAATTCAATTTATTTATTATATTTATGTTTAGATCTTAATAGGGAAACTTAAAAAATGAGGATAAACCAAATTGAAACATTTTTAAATTTTTAGACTAAAATGGACTAAATCAAAGACATGCATGCACAATAAACGTAAATAAAAGGTTAAGGAACTAACTTGATTAAATTCGAAAGATGGAGGACTGAATTGATTAAATTTAAAACATGGAGAACTGATTTGAAAAGAGTTGGGACCCGTAGACTAAATTGCTTAATTATAAAAGCTTTGGGTGAAATTGGAATGAAAAAAGATAATTTTGATTTTTGACTAATATTAAAGGAAATTAATTAACTAAGATAATTAGCTTAATTGAATAATTAAATTATCATTAATTAAAATTAATTAATCACATCTATTAATATTTAATCAAGATAATTAAATACATAATTACCTTATATTAAGATTAATAAATATGATTAATTTATTTTAATTAAAATTAATTAATTATATTGATCATAGATTAAATTAATTATCTTAATTAATTAATTATTTTATTTATTTATTTATTTTACTTTTTTTTCTAATATCTGCTTGCCCCAAAAAAAAGAAAAAAGAAAAAAACACAAACTGTCAAGCAAAACATTAAAAAAGATAGATCAAACATCAAACGACAATGAAATCTGTATTTTAGAGTTCATGTCATTTCCAGTAAAAGATAAACACATCCATCAGAAAATAAACTGAACAATTTTTTTTGATTTTTCATTCATTGTCTAACGAAACACAATCTTAACATCGAATCTTAAAAAGAAACAAACACCCACAAAATAAAAACAGAGACGGTGGATTTTTGAAAGAAAAACAGATCTGGATCTGATAGAATGAACCCCACCCACGGGATCAAGCTTCCACCATCTCCTTCACCATTTTCCTAACAAAAATCCTACGTTCAGAGCTATACCTAACAATGGGAACCAAAGATTAAATCCCTCTTGCAACTTGACAATCTCCTTTCTCAAACAGTCTCCTTCCAGTAAAAAAAAAAAACCTTTCATCTTCTGCACCGTCAACACCACACTCAATCAAGCAAAAATCCCCCTTTCTCCTCCTCGAAGTCTCCCTCTACTACTCTCAAAAACTAGATGGAGACTCCCAAATCAAACTCGAAAATCAACCAAAGACCCCCCCCCATTTGATCTGATTTTTTCCTATATATATACCCAAATAATAAAATAAAATAAAATAAAATAAAAACTTCTTCCGTCAATCATTGATCTCTGCAGCAAAAGCAAAGGACGAAGATGATGCCGATTTTGTCTGGTATGCGCTTTTTTTTTGTAGGTGAGGCAAGGACAGGGGTGTAGCAAGCAAGAGTGCAGAGGCACGAGATTGGCGCAGCAAGCAGGACACAGGTGATTGCAGTAAGTAGGAGGGCGCAGCAGTGCAAACAGGGGGCGCAGCAGGGTGCAAGCTCGGGTGCAGCACGCAAGGGGGGGAGGAAGCTGGTTCTGGAAGAGAAGATCCTGGAGAGCAAAAAGATTTTAACCTTATTTTTTTTTTTTTTGGTGTTTGGGTCTTGGGTTTTTTGTTTTTGTGATTTTGGGTAATGGTGGGTTTCGGTTTTTTTTGGGTTTTGAGTTTTGGGTTTGGATAATTTAATGGGCTCAATTGAAATGGGTTAGTGTTGGGTTTGCAAATTTGATGAATTTTACCCTTAAACTTTTGATTCCTTCAATTGAGTCCTTTCTCGAGTTTCTTTTCTTCATTTTCTTCTTGAGTTTCTTCTTTTTGCATGTAGCACCTGAAAGAAATATGAAGATATATTAGTTAAAGGAAAGAGAAAATTCATATTTTTATATTTTTGTGCTTTTTTTTATTTTTTTTATTAATTTTGTGATTAATATTTTTTTTTATATGAAAAATCTAAATAAACTGAATGAAAAATCGAGTTATGACAAAGAATGTCTTTAATTTTTTTGATTTCAAACCATTATATTGAGAAATATATCAGGAATTTTTTTTTTTCAATTTCTACTAGATTTTCCTTGTAATTTCTCCAAAGGAATTTATCCATAGAGAATTGGGGTTTTCCTTACTTTTCTCACCTATCTTTCATTTTATTTGCATCATCATGGTGGGTTTTGTTTCTGCTATTCCATTTCCAATTCCAAATCCGATCAATAAACAATTCATGCTCCATTGCTCCGTGGAGGATTCCAGTCCATGGGAAGTGGTAGGAATCGCC